TTATTATACAACCTTGATCAACAGTATGAGATATACTTCATTTGTCAAATTGAGGTTGTATCTGAAAGAATATCTAGTATTTCTGCTTTTAGCTGGCTTTAACAAACATCATGAGAAGGGACAGAAATTAAAAAAGAGTTCAAAATATGTCATATTTTCATATTAAAGGAGTTTTGGACATTTCAGATGTGAGCTATTTTCGTTAGCAGACTGTTGCTAAAGAGGAGGTTCTGTACAAGGGACTTTGTGCAGTCATATCAATCCGCAGAAAGAAGTCCGGTCAATTTAATATCATCTGTGTACAACAACTCTTAGTTGTCAGGTTAAAAGCAAGAGCGCTGGACACCATAGAAAACAGCAGGAATGAAATACTAACAGACAGGAAGTAAACACTAAACAGAACAGCAGAAGAAGACAGACAGGAAGTACACACTAAAAGGAACACAGGAGGTGTTTCTCAATGTCGAGTAAAGCTGCTCCAGAGCCACTATTTCAAGCATACTACGTCATCGAGTGCCGCCGAAGTACTGTTCCAATGTCCAGCATACTTGGAATTCTACCGAGGCCGACGTACTTCGTTTGGAGAAATGTCGAGGCTGCACATGTGCACATGACTCCGCGGTCTTAAAATCCCCACAATGCTTTGCGCACGGACCAATTTCCCCAAATCTGTGGCGGAAAATGTAAAGGCGGGGCCTCTCATATGACGCACACTTGCTAGCCTGTTCCACTCTTTGTTTTCCGAATGCCAGGAAGGATTCTTGCCTCGCTTCTGAAGCAAGTGACTCGGAAAACATGTGCTACCAAGCAAGCGTACTCGAGATTGAGAAACACCCAGTATGGGCTCTGGCAGTGTTAACAGACTGGCTAATGGAAAATAAAATGTGAACAGACTTAATCAGTAACAGAAAACCTTTTTTTAACATTTCAATTTACGTTTCTGTCACCGCAGTTCAGCCGTTGGTCCGCAGTGGAAGAGCAACTTTTTCTAAGATCATTTGAAAACAATAGTGTGGGTCAAGGCCTGTGTTTATTTAGTATAGCGGTGTAATAAGCAGGATAATGTGCTGTACTCACGTCATGAAGCTGTATAGACTCTGATCTCATCCCTTTGTCATACAACCGTAAAAGTCAAGTATGATATATAAAAGTCTACTTTTAGAACTAAAAGTACTCAGCGTATATGAACAATCATGATCAAATGAATAGTTGTATACCTTTATAAATATACAATTACAAAGGATTAAATATACAATAACAGTGTCTGTTGTAGAGTATTCTCATTTATGTTACAATATAATTTGAACTAGGCTGGAACACAATTAATTATTTATGTAAAAAACAATGAAAGAAACCTTAAATGGGATACTGTATTGTTAGGGTTAGGGTTTGTTACAGAAACTAGTTGAACAGCAATTGATGTAATGGCTTTGGCTCTGCATTGATCTTAAACGTCTTGCATTAGAAACAGTTTGCTTATTTATATCATTTTTCAACTTTAGAATACTAACATCGCACCTGTTCCTTGAATTGCCTAAACTTATAGAGGAACAAATCCCCAAAAGGCTTTAGATCTTGAGATTCCACTTCCTGGTAACAGAGAAAAACTGTGTACACTTTCATATTTTAAGTTATGAAATGGATGCTTGTATGCAGATATTTTACAAATAAGTCAGATCCAATCCCCTTTGATGACACCTACATGTTCACTATTTTTGGTTATGAGGAAAATCAAACCATCCATTTCACAATTTAGACAAAGTAAAGTCATGAAAAAAACATGGGTTTATTTTTTACTTTAAACAGGCCTTAGTTTCTCTTCTAATGGCGCATTTCCACTGCAGGGCCTCGCACAGCTTAGTATGGTATAGTTAGGCCTTGGTAGGCCAGGCTCACTTTATGCTGCATTTCCATTACAGTTTAGTAGCTGGGGCGGTAACTATAGTAACGCAGTGTAGGCGGAGCCGTGACGTCATCTTCAATGCAAACACAAAACAGCTGTTAGCTGTTAGCACTCAGAGCTCACAGCTCCTCATATCTGAGGAGGCGTGTGGTGCAGTGGGTTGTCCGTAGGTGTTGGGATCTGGGGGTCACAGGTTCAAACCCCACTGCAGTCAGCATGTCGTTGTGTCCCTGAGACACTTCACCCCAAATTGCTCCTGTGGGGATTGTCCACAGTATTGAGTATGTAAGTCGCTTTGGATAAAAGCGTCTAACAAGTAACATGTAATGTAATGTAATATCTGTTCAGAAACTAGACAAAATGTAAACAAGTACAAACCACAGACTGTCTGTGTCATGGTGAATACAATCGTTGGTTTATTTATGTCTGTAGGCCGTTGTTGTGAGTGTGGACGGTCGGAGCATATACTGCGTTAGCTTAGCCGATCTCCATTTAGACAACACGCATTTTAAAAGGTTTTTCGCCTGCCGTCTGTCTGCAGACTTGTCAAAGCATTAATTCATGGTTTTTACTAACCGGTATCAGTATGTTGTTACTTCGGCATTGTTTTGAGACGTGTATTACAATTCAATCACGGTCAAATATATTCATGTTGTTGTAGTTGTAGCCTCCTTGCCAGCGATTCTCTCTGACCATTCAGCAGTCGAGAGTGTTTACGTCACTAGTTTAGCATACTCAGCCCGGTTGTTGGCCCGGTAAGAACCTCGATTTTGGAGGGCCAGAAAAAAGGTGAAAAAGTAGCCCTGAGCCAGAACTACCCCTAGTGGAAAAGCAAAAAAAAAACTGGCCGGGTTTGGTACGGCACGCTTAAACCGTGCTACGCGCTGCAGTGGAAATGCGCCATAAATGTGTTGTAGCAATGTGTTTGTCATCATCTCAATAAGTAAATTAACTTGTAAACACAATGTATATCAGTTGGTTCTGATAACACTAACAAATAAGAATAAAATGATAAAAACAGGAAGAAGTAATAAAGTGCTCTAAGTCTACAGTGCATGGCAATTAACTTTTGATACAAAGTAGGCCTAAGAGGTTAGATCATAAAAATGTGCACAATCAGAACTGACATAAAGGACATTTAATATCAAATAAGTAAAGGTATAAATTGCCACTAAAGCTTAAATAGAGCTGTATATTTCTGTGGGTGAATCAAGTGTTCACTCCGACTGTTAGGACATCACAAAGCCTTTAAAAATCATTGATCGTTTCCAAATCCAATGAGCACAACAAGGTCCCGGTTCATTATTGATGACTTGACTCGTTTGCTGCTGGAGATTTATATTTTTCTTCATTTACGTGAAGTGAGCCTAAGTAAACTCTAAATTGAGCATAATGCCTCTCTGCCTGGGGAGTCGGAGACGTCTGTGAGCCAGGAACGATGTAGCTACAGTCATCGGCAAACTGCTTTATTATGCCCAACACCATCAATCTCCATGCATAGGAATCGCCAACTTCAATCGCACTATTGGAAACAGCTAAGGTCAGACCTTTATCCCGCCTCAAAAAAGTTGCAGTGATTGATTTTTCACATTTTTCAGCCTTTTCAACAAGATTTTGAGCAGTGCGGAAAAAACAGGGTGCCAAATGGATTCATCATCATCTTTTAGAGGAGATGATTATTTGACAGGCATGTAAATTAGAAGCCAGGACAGGGGTGAAAGAGCAGGATACTCACCTCAAGAGGGGAGGGAAAAGGAATCACAGCAACTGAAGCAAGCCAGGAATAAATGGAGAAAAATGGAGATGGGAGGAATAAATGTCAAGTCTTATTAGAAACATGATTTTCAAAACAGAGGTTGTCATCAAAGGAGTATCAGTTAATTGATCTTTCTCAACTCTACTATATATGGGATGCCATTTGCATCACTTTCCTTTGGTCTCTGTGTTTGTCGTTCTCTATGCTGTGTAAATGTTTGTGTGTTTGGGGAAGATCTACGGAGAAATGTCTGCGTGGGTGAGGTGGTTTATGATCGTGATCAAACAGACTTCTGTTAGACAAATAAAGCCGATATTCTTTCTCTTGCCATGAACAAAGGATGTGCTCTCGTTCTTCCTCAGACATGATCACATGGTGTGTTTTTATTTGATAATCTTTTTTGGAGCTTATTGACGGACAGACTGGTGGTTTGAAGATTTCCTGTTTCATCTCCCAGTCTTTTAACAGCCATGGTTTAGTCATGAAATCCTGACATTTATTCTAACTCAGTGATAGTGATAAGGTACACAGAGTCACTTTGTCTCCCTTATTCTTGTGTCACTACTTTGTCTGTCTCATATACCAAGATAAAGCAACTGTTAACATCAACTAGCAAGCTTTGGTCGTCAATGAGAAAGGTTAAAAGCAGCATTAATGTTGGTAACTTAGGCCTCTCTAGTTGTCCCTGAATGTAGAAAAAGGAAACCTAAAGGGAATCAGACAATTAACATCATTTCAAAAAATACACACTTTATTTATATTGTAGTGAGACAACGGTTATTTTACCTTCCTGATTAATGTAAAACACACACTTGTAAAGATTAACAATCACAAAAATGTATCAATTCGTCACACTAAAAATGATCATAAAATAACCAAAAACACTCAAAAAAGGCATCCACAATTTCTTCTTTTAAGAAGGTTTTCCTGTGTTCCTCATGCAATCTTTATCAATAGAATTCATATGGGATTGGTAAACCAACTGGGAGTAGAATTCTCCCCAAACCTGCCATTATTCACTTCAGTATGTGGATAAGCACACACATGTTTAATTTATACTAAGATCGAACATCTATAATAGAAACTTTGAGGGACAGTTGTATGTGTCATGTTGGCTTGAAAAGGTTGCTTCAGGTCGCTATCAAACTGTGAGGTTCACTGTGAGTATCAAAGCCAGTATTTATCTAACTGTAAAAACAGCATTCTGCTTTGGTAATTGACAAGATAGATGTTGCCATACAGTACAGTATGCACCTCAACTCGGATAAATAAACTAGATATAGATATCCAACATTAATACTAACCCACTGGTTTGCTGTTTTCCTCCATCTATCTGTGCAGGGTAACCAAGAGGCCCCAGCTCCCCCTGAAGCCATGGCCCAACCCTTCCCCCCAGGCCAGTACCCCCCCCCACCACAGAACGGGATCCCCGCTGAATACGCCACGCCCCACGCCCACGCCCACCCCCACCCCCCGGCAGACTACACAGGACCCAACACGGTGAACGAGCACGCCCTGACACTGTACACGCCGACACACTCACAGAGCGAACAGCCGGGAAACGACAGCAACACCCCCAACCTCACAGCCAACACAGTAACGGTGAGTCCACACTTTATACAAACGTCTTTATGAAAGTGTTTTTTGGTGTATTTTCATTCAATGTAAAGGATTTCCTTGGACCCTCCATGTTGGACGATATTGTGCCCTTTTAGAATAAAGGACACAACTCAATGAAATAGAGTTAGAGATTAGTCCATTACGTTACCCACAAAAACATGGCTTAATGGCTTAACATTAAAACATTTACATCAGGAAAACTTTGACCTTTCCCCTATTAGTGGAATAGCCTTTGGTCCCAGCTAGGTTAGCTAAGCCACCATTTCTACTCTCTTCCATCTCCTCTTGGGGTGTTTGGTCGGAGAATGCCGTAGGCGGTGACCCTCTGAATGTCCACTGCACTTTACCCAATCCCCATGCTTCTCTGTCATATTCCATATGTGCCCCAGTAAAAAGGAAGACAACTCAGACAACCAACCATTAAAACAATGTAGCATTGAGTCTCATCATGGAATGTGGAACACAACATGCACACACACCTGGCTAGGAGCTCACTGTGTACTACAAGAGACATAGTTACTGCAAAAAAAGGAAATTCCCTGAACTGTAATAAAAGTTGTTTTGGTTTTCAACTTGACACTTAAGCAGGTCAATGCAGACCATACAGAAGGGTCCCACAAACCAATCTTTCAATGCGATGTAGTTGGGAAACGCTTTTTTAGGTTGGCCTTCTTGTAGATAAAACATGATAAATGGCCCTTAAAGAGCCTGTGACACGAGTTTCCCCCATCATCCAAACCCATCAATTTGAGTAAATATTGTCCCCTTGAAAACCGTTACTGAACTGATTTTGGATATTTGTACTTTGATAACCATTAATCTGCCCTTCAATGTTGACCATTTTCTGGATCTGCTCGGGGATTCTTCAAGTCCCGCCAAATTACGTGTGACGTCATTGCGGGCACAGCGCTCCAGCTGCACCGTTCAGGATCCCAGCATCTGCATGTAAACACGATGGTGCACACAGCAGCAAGCTCAGACAGCGATGACAGTTTAATGTTGAACGTGTCTGAGAGCTATGAGGCTGAAGGATCGGTTTGTTGTATCTGTTAGAAGTTTAGGAATTAGGTGCGTCAATATGGGCGATCATACGGTCATGTAGCCAGTGGTGGACTGGGACTAAAAATCATCCCGGGACTCTTGACCGGCCCACTTCGGTACCGCTAGTAAGTTGTCAACGGGGGGAGTGGGGGATGTCAGGGGCGGCGGGTGCTGTAGATAGTAAATGTAAATATGTAAATATTTGTGTCACTGCATCCTGGTAAAATACAAATATAATGCAATGTCTGTGTCTTTGACATTAGCGCTGCCAGCCACCTGTGCCCTGTACTACGAAGCCAGTTCAACAGACCCTGGATATGTTTGAGTAACAAACAAACTAACAACAACAAACTAACAAACGAGATCTCGCTAAGCGGTCCTACGACGCTGGTTATGAACTCGGTAAATCAAGCCAGGGTTTCTCTCACCAGCTGAGAGCGCGTTCACTTCTAAGATCTGACTTTAATTACATTTGACTGTGTTTCGTCAACATAATGTGTTGCTAAAAATAATACTTCTGCATACAGTATGTGACACTGTAAGTGTTGCACGGCCAGATACGGCTGGAGAAGCTGACTCAGATAAGGAAATATATGATATATTATGATATTATATGATCGATGATCTGATTGATGATGTAATATGAATGATAAATGCGACACGTCGGCGTCTTCTCTGCATACGGCAGTTTAAACTGTATTTCCTTTATCCTGTAATATGACTTGAGAGATTTAAACTCCGCACACTGAGTTGATCTCTTTTCTATAGACGCCGGAGGCAGGCAGCGTCAGGTAAAAAAAGTTATTTAGCCTTCCCAAACCTGAGCCTCACGCGCCGCCTATGGGGGATGTGCTAGTGACTTATCCGACCGGCCCACTTCGGTACCGGCCCATCGGGATTCGTCCCGATGGCCAGTCCGCCACTGCACCCAGCCCACGTAAACTGTCAACGGGGGGAGCCTCGCTGCGGGGAAACGGTGGACCTAGTGTCCCGATCGGAGTGGGAATAATAATAATAATAATCCGTGCATTTTATCCATTAATTTCCCCAACATTGTGGTGAAAAAACCACACGTTTAATCCATGTTGGTGTACTACAACTACAAAAAGCATCGGTTTGTTTTCTCATCAGGAAATGCAGACCGGCTCAAACAGACGATTTTTAATCATCATCCTCACGATCATTTAATCTATCATATGTTCGCCGAATTGACATGAAAGCACTAATTCATGTAGTTTCATCCACTTGAGTTTACAACTACAAAAATAATCGATTTGTTTTTATATCACATCCTACGGGAGGAAATTCAGTAGCTCTCACTACCGATTTTTAATCCTAATGTAATCATCATCTTCACCACGATCATTTATGTTTATGTTCGCCGAATTGACATGAAAGCACTGACAAATATGAATATACTGTAGTCAACTTCATTACAACGTTATTAACGTGCCTAAACTCAGTAATTCACCATTTCTACGCATGACAACACACTTTGTCCGTGTTTGGCTCTCTCGCCGCACAGTGAAGCGTTCCCGCATTGACGTCACTTCCGGCTTCCCCCAAAACTTCAAAATGAGTCGAAGGAATTTCCCCGCGATGTTCGAAATTATTGATATTTAACGGAACGGTATCGCTTTTTCTTTTTTAAACTGACGGTTCGAGATTACTAGTAGCCCAATATTTCATTGCACAACAGTTGTTGGGATGCTGTCACAGGCTCTTTAAGGGTTCCATGCCAGCAGAGAAAATATGATAAAGTGCCCTTCGGTGTGTTCTACCATTACAGAGAACTTGGTAAAGGTATCTAGGATATTCTTCAAAGAAAGTACATTTATGGTTAATGTTGGAGTTCCCAATATAGTGCCCTTTTATGGGAGAAAACATATTGATGCCTTTAATTGGAGAAAATTCAGTGCACTAATTGTTGTGAAAACACGATGCAGTGCCTTTGATTGCACCCTTACAGTGGATATACTTAGATGTAGTGCCATATAGTCTGCCTTACATGCTAATTAAAGGGTCCCTATTAGGATATTGGGGGTTTCCCTGTCCTGTATTGTGTTATATAGGTTTGTATGCATGTAAATGGTCTGCAAAGGCTAAAATCCCTGTGTTCACTCCATAGGGAGTTTCTCCCCGCTAACTGAACACCTTCAGTTGGCGCCACCCTGCATATGTATCTAAATAGATAATAATGTGCACCACCAAACTCCTTATATGTGAATCGTTTTTGTCCAGCGAGTGGTGAAACTATTGCACACATTAAAATATCTTTCTATACTCTGTGTGCATGGCGTCCCTCATAGAGAGTGACATTGACCTTCATTCAGTAGTACAAACAAAGCCATAACACATATTCCTGTTGCTGGTGCTCCTCATAAAAGCAGATCACTTCATCTATCTGCCATAAAACAATTAGGTCACCTGTTGGTCACTGTTTCATAGTCGTGTTACAACATCCTGCCACCCTCAGGCAAACAACATTGAACCAGTATCAGCAGTTTTATAAAGCATTTCAATTTCATGTAAAAGCTAAGATTACAAATTAAATGTAAAAATCCTAAATGTTACATGAAGATTATATTAGGACATTTCAAAAATACATTTAATGCTACGATTTCCTTGTCAGAGACAATTAGACTAGAGTTTAAATTATTTCTATTTTAACATCAAGCAAACGCGGAAATGCATGCACAAAGTAAACATGCACATACTTATACACACAGCAGGGACACATTGGTGGCTGCATGTGACATATCAACCACATTGTAAGCTTCTTTCCAACAAAGAGCTGCAAACACACACACACACACACACACACACACACACACACACACACACACACACACACACACACACACAGAATGCACATAGGGAATGGTAAGGATGTCCACACTATAGTTAACTGCACCACTACTTGTCTCTTGTTGAGGAGCCTTCAAGCTGTCAGGGCCAATAAGAGTGGAGCATGCTGGGAGGACATGGGAGAGTATAGACAGTGATGTCAGTGTGGGGGAGTCCAGCGAGAGAAGAAGGCACGGTACAGTCAGCATTACTGGGAGTGTTTTACAGTCACTGTGGAGAGTTTGTCACAAGCTGTAACTGTTACTGTCAAGAGACATAGTTACTGCAGAATCAAGGAAATACACCATACACGTTCACTGCGGCCTTAAAGGCACTTACTACATTTACTGTAAAAAATACAGTATGCTGTCAAACCAATATATCAGGTTGAAACTATTTACCAACCACTAATATTAGCCTCTATGGAAAGATCTTGACCTGAAGTTCTCCACATTATCAGCTTTTTCAATGTTATTGTCTTCGGAAGTATAAACTGCATTTAGTTAAATATTGTAGTATGGCAACTGTACATTATTGGTGTGGTTCACTTTACTTCTTATAAACTTTTTACTCTACTGCATTAACATATGTGATCAAAATAGTTGCAGGTTTCACGTCTAAAACTTGTAATATATCATATCTCTGTGGTTCAGGAGGTAGATGGTCGTCCTCCAATTGGACGTCTGGAAATTCAACCCTCAACCCCTGCAGTCAACATGTCTTTGTGTTCTTGAGCAATATACTTAAACCTAAATTGCTTCTGATGGCCAACAGTGTGTGAGTGTGTATGAATGAGTAGATGGCCCCTTGTATGGCAGCCTCTGCCCCTGTGTGAATGGTGACTGCTGACAAGTTCATGTAAAAGCGCTTTGAGGGGTCGCAAAAACTGGAACACCGCTGAATGAAGGCAGGCCATTTACAATTTAGAAAGAAGAAAATATAACATAACAAATAACAAAATGGTGTCATCATGCATCCAGTAATATAAATCTCAATGCATGTGATGGTGTGAGTGGTTTTGATCTAGAGTTTATCTGCTGTCTGCTTGTGCTGTTCATACTGTCTCTTGTCCAGTTGTGTTGCCCTTTGACATG